AAAGGAAGTGGGGTAGTCTTGGGGCTGCTGCTGAGCACCCCAGATTTGGGGGCCAGAGGGGAGGGGAGGAACCATCTGAGGAAGGACTCCCCAGACCTTACAGTGAGCAATGAAGAGGAGAGGGGCCCCTCCCCTATCCCCCCACCCCATGCCAAGGAGACTTCTGGGAAATCTGGGGCTAGAATTTTCCTCTTTATCCCAGAAAAACCACCCCTGGCAGCTCAGCACCCTGGATGCTGGAGCCAGCCCACAGACTGTCAGAGAACAGCTGGGCAAGGGGGCACATGGGAGCTGCCACCCAGCCATGGCCCCCCTTGCCCACGTTGGTTGCCCAGTGGGGAGGGCAGAGTGCAGCCTCCCAGAGGAAAGGCACCCGGTTAGGGCTGAAGGAAATACACCCCCGAGCCCTAGCCCACAGCCCTCCCTGAACCATCTGGAAAGTCTCCCCCTTTCTGGATGGAAAATAGTGAGGACTGAGACCCTTACCAGCTTTGTGACCCCAGGGCCATTCTGACCCTCAGTTTTCTCGTCTCAAAAATGAGACTCCTAGCGGGATGCCATGGCTCATGTCTGTAATCTCAGGTACTCTGGAGACTAAGGTAGGAGGATTGCTTGAGGCTAGGAGTTCAAGACCAGCATGAGCAACATAGTAAAAACCCAATCTCTACAAAAAATTGTAAAATTGGCTGGGTGTGGTGGCATGTGCTTGTAGTCCCAGCTACTCAGGAGGCTGAGCAAGGAGGATCATGTGAGCCCAGGACATTAAGGCTGCAGTGAGCTATGACTGCACCACTGTACTCCAGCCTGGGTAACGGAGTGGGAACCCTATCTATTAAAAAAAAAAAAAAAAAAAAGGACCGGGCGTGGTGGCTCAAGCCTGTAATCCCAGCACTTTGGGAAGCCAAGGCGGGTGGATCACACGGTCAAGAGATTGAGACCATCCTGGTCAACAGGGTGAAACCCCGTCTCTACTAAAAATACAAAACATTAGCTGGGCATGGTGGCGCGTGCCTGTAATCCCAGCTATTCAGGAGGCTGAGGCAGGAGAATTGCCTGAACCCAGGAGGCAGAGGTTGCAGTGAGCCGAGATCGCGCTATTGCACTCCAGCCTGGGTAACAAGAGCGAAACTCCGTTTCAAAAAAAAAAAAAGAAAGAAAGAAAAAAGGAGTCCAGGCACAGTGGCTCACGCCCGTAATTCCAGCACTTTGGGAGGCTGAGGTGGGTGAATCGTTGGAGGTCAGGAATTTGGGACCAGCCTGGCCAACGTAGTGAAACTCCACCTCTACTAAAAATACAAAAAATACAGGGTGTGGTGGTGGGCACCTGTCATCCCAGCTACTCGGGAGGCTGAGGCAGGAGAATTGCTTGAACCCGGGAGGTGGAGGTTGCAGTGAGCTCAGATAGCGCCACTGCATTCCAGTCTGGGTGACAGAGCAAGACTCTGTCTCAAAAAATAAAAAATGATTAAAAATTGGCCAGACGCGGTGGCTCACGCCTGTAATCCCAGCCCTTTGGGAGGCCAAGGTGGGCGGATCACGAGGTCAAGAGATCGAGACCATCCTGGCCAACATGGTGAAACCCCATCTCTACTAAAAATACAAAAAATAGCCAGGCATGGTGGCACGTGCCTGTGGTCCCAGCTACTCGGGAGGCTAAGGCGGAAGAATCGCCTGAACCCAGGAGGCAGAGGTTGCAGTGAGCCAAGATTGTACCACTGCACTCCACCCTGGCGATAGAGCAAGACTCCGTTTCAAAAAAAAGAATAAATATTTTGGCCAGGTGCCATGGTTCATGCCTCTAAGCTCAGCACTTTGGGAGGCAGAGGTGGGCAGATCACAAGGTCAGGAGTTTGAGACCAACCTGACCAACATGGTGAAACCCCGTCACTACTAAAAATACAAAAATTATCTGGGAGTGGTGGCCGGTACCTATAATCCCAGCTACTTGGGAGGCTGAGGCAAGAGAATCACTTGAATCCAGGAGGCAGAGGTTGCAGTGAGCTGAGATCAAGCCACTGCACTCCAGCCTGGGTAACAGAGAGAGACTCCATCTCAAAAAAAAAAAAAATTTTTTTTTTTTTAAAAAGGAAAGGAAGAGAAAGAAACTCTGATAGGATACTTTGACACTCTATAAAGCACATATAACTGGCTAATTCTCATTATTCGAAGGCTCAGTAGGCTCAGTTAAAGGCCCTCACAGTCACCATGAAGCTAATTATGTACCAAGCACTTTACAAACATTCACACCTTTGAAATTCACCACAACGCTGTCAGACATGCAGAGGCATTGCTAGCTCTGCTTTGCACATGCAGACATGTGGGCTCAGGGTGGTCACCACGCCAGCAGCACCCAGATTCAAGCCCAGCTCTATCTGTCCCCAAAACCCAGTTTCTGCCCCCCCCCACCCACCTCATCCCCAGGCGCCATCCATCTTCCCTTCCTTGTGGGAGGTCTAAGAGTCATCCCTCAAGAACTGAGCCCTCAGCCAGGCTGGTCTCGAACTCCTGACCTCAGGCAATCTGCCTGCCTCAGCCTCCCAAAGGGCTGGGATTACAGCCATGAGCCACCACACCCAGCCCGTGGTAGCCCACACCTGTAGTCCCAGCTACTCTGGAGGCTGAGGCAGGAGAATCACTCAAACCCAGGAGGCGTTGCAGTGACCCGAGATTGCACCACTGCACTCCAGCCTGAGCAACAGAGCAAGACTCCGTCTCAAAAAAAAAAAAAAAAAAAAAAAAAGGGCCGGGAGCAGTGGCTCAAGCCTGTAATCCCAGCACTTTGGGAGGCTGAGGCGGGTGGATCACGAGGTCAAGAGATCGAGACCATCCTGGTCAACATGGTGAAACCCCGTCTCTACTAAAAATACAAAAAATTAGCTGGGCATGGTGGCGCATGCCTATAATCCCAGCTACTCAGGAGGCTGAGGCAGGAGACTTGCCTGAACTCAGGAGGCGGAGGTTGTGGTGAGCCGAGATCGTGCCATTGCACTCCAGCCTGGGTAACAAGATCGAAACTCCGTCTCAAAAAAAAAAAAAAAAAAAGAACTGAGCCCTTGAAGATGAATGTGAATTCCAAGGGAGTGAGCAGTGTGTGGGTTTTGTACCTTGAGTTGCACAATCTCTCCTGGCTGGGGCAGCAGGGATAGATCCAGTCCGCCCTGGTTTCAGGCAAGATGAAGGGAGCTAGTGTCTACAAAGGGCCGGCAGATCCCATCCAGAGCGTGGCTGGGCCCAGTAGAGCCACACCTGAAACTGTTTATAACCACCCATACCTGACAGCTCCCTCTAGGGTGGGGCACCCTGTGCTCCCGTCTGGGCCAAGACACAGGCAGAGGCAGATGAGGGTGCTCCCTGGCTCCTGACCTCACCTGACTTTATACAGCTGGGGATGGGAGGGGCTGGGAGCGCTGGGAAGCACAGGCCTGGGGCTTTCTGACGCTAGTCCCACGGGGTGTCAACCAGGAGCTCCCTGGGCTCATTGACAATGACCCAGCCGGGGAGGTGGGGTAGAAGGCAGGGTCCTGTCTGCCTCCCACCCTTGGCTCCCGAGAGTCCCAGGAGTTCAGAGGCCTTTCCAGGGACGATCTCAGATTCATGGTCCAGCCCTGGCTCTTCCCTGAGGAGGAGCACGTGGGTAAGATAGAGGTATCCAAGACTAGCGCAGTGGCTCACACCTGGAATCCCAGTGCATTGAGAGGCCTAGGTGGGAAGATCGCTTGGGGCCAGTAGTTCAAGACCAGCCTGGGCAACACGGTTCGACCCCCGTCTCTACAGAAAATTTAAAAATTGGCCAAATACTGTGGCACACACCTGTAGTCCCAAGTACTCAGGAGTCTGAGGCAGGAGGATCACTTGAGCCCAGGAGGTCAAGGCTGCAATAAGCGATGATCATTCTACTACACTCCAGCCTGGGCAACAGAACAAGACCCTATCAAAAGAAAACAAAGAAAAGGAAAGAAAAAGAAAGAAAAAGAAAAGAGGCTGGGCGCGGTGGCTCACGCCTATAATCTCAGTTTCACCACCTTGGCCAGGATGGTCTTGATCGCGTGACCTCATGATCCATCCACCTCGGCCTCCCAAAGTGCTAGGATTACAGACGTGAGCCACAGTGCTCGACCATCCAGCTAATCAAAAACAATTTTTTGGTAGAGGTGAGGTCTCGCCATGTTGCCCAGAATGGTCTCAAACTCCTGGCCTCAAGGGATCCATCCTTCCTGCCTTGGCCTCCCAAAGTGCTCAGATTACAGCATGCACCCAGCCCCTTTTAATTTTTTTTTTTTTTTTTTTTTTTTTTTTTTGAGACGGAGTTTCGCTCTTGTTACCCAGGCTGGAGTGCAATGGCGCGATCTCGGCTCACCGCAACCTCCGCCTCCTGGGTTCAGGCAATTCTCCTGCCTCAGCCTCCTGAGTAGCTGGGATTACAGGCACGCGCCACCATGCCCAGCTAATTTTTTGTGTTTTTAGTAGAGACGGGGTGTCACCATGTTGACCAGGATGGTCTCGATCTCTTGACCTCGTGATCCACCCGCCTCGGCCTCCCAAAGTGCTGGGATTACAGGCTTGAGCCACCGCGCCCGGCTCCCTTTTAATTTTTTTAAGAAACAGGGCCTTGCTCTGTTGCCTAGGCTGGAGTGCAATGGTGAGAACATAGCTCACTACAGCCTCGAACTCCTGGACCCAAGCACCAGACTGCTTTCCATCACATTCCATCAAACAGCCTTGTGGTTCCAACCCTGCCTCTGACACTTCCCAGCAAAATGTTTGCCCCAGCCCAACCTGTCTGGCGCTGTCTTGCTTAACAAAAGGACCGGCCTGGCCGCGGGCCACACCCGCCAGCCATTAAGCACCAGGGCCTCCGAGTGCCCTTGTGTGGCACGTCTCCAGCGTCGCACTCTCGAACTCATTTGTTTTCCTTAACGAGAGAAGGTTCCAGATTGGGGCAGAACCCTCTTCGCCCCGCCCACGGCCCCCTGAACGCTGGGGGGTGGGGGGAGTGCAGGGGGAGGGGCGGTCCCAAACGGGTCATTTCCATTAATAGAGACCTCAAACACCATCTGCTAAAAATACCCAACTGGAGGCGCATAAAAGCGCGACCCGGCACCGCGGCCCGCACTTCTCCGAGCGGACGTGCAGAGCAGAGCCAGCCAGCATGACGGAGCGCAGCGTCCCCTTCTCGCTCCTGCGGCGCCCCAGCTGGGACCCCTTCCGCGACTGGTACCCGCACAGCCGTCTCTTCGACCAGGCCTTCGGGATGCCCCGGCTGCCGGAGGAGTGGTCGCAGTGGTTCGGCACCAGCAGCTGGCCGGGCTACGTGCGCCCCCTGCCCCCCGCCGCCGTGGAGGGCCCCGAGGTGGCCGCGCCCGCCTACAGCCGCGCGCTCAGCCGGCAGCTCAGCAGCGGGGTCTCGGAGATCCGGCACACGGCGGACCGCTGGCGCGTGTCCCTGGACGTCAACCACTTCGCCCCCGAGGAGCTGACGGTCAAGACCAAGGATGGCGTGGTGGAGATCACCGGTGAGCACCCCCTGGCCCTGCAGGGGAGGGGAGGAGGCTAGCGGGGCGGGCGGGGCCCGGGGGTGCGGTTGAAACCCGGGGCCTGGGGAGTTAAAAGTTAGCCCTGCACCGGGAAAAGCGGGATCCGTGATTCCTCTGCTCAGGAGTTGGGGGTGCAGGTCGCTTCTAAGGTGGCTTTCTGCTCTGTAATCTCAGCGCCTTGGGAGGCGGAGGCCAGGAGTTCAAGACTAGCCTGGGCAATATAGCGAGACCTCCCCCACTACCAACTACAAGAAAATAAAAAAGCAACCAAAATTTTTTTGAAAGATCATCAGTGAAGAAATGCTCCTTTTCCACGGAACCCTCTCCCCACCCGCAGCCCCATCCCCAGATAAGCGGGTCCCCTGACGCGGTCCCTGTCCCTAGCCGCGCAGGGGGCGTGCGTGCTGCTCCCAGTGCGCTTGCGCGTTGCTCCCTCCGCCCCTCGGCACCCTGCTCCATTTCTCCCAAAACTCCTACTCGAACTTTCCGGAAGTTCCTGAGAGCCCGGACAGGCGGGCACGCCCCCACTCCCAACCCCCTCTGTTAATCCCTGCCAGCCTGCAGTCCTGGCTGCCTCCAAGCTGGAGGTGGGGCCTCTGGCCTGGCGGGGCCGAGATTCGGTCCCCTCCCCCTCATTCTGATTTTCTTCTCCCCCAAAGGCAAGCACGAGGAGCGGCAGGATGAGCATGGATTCATCTCCCGCTGCTTCACCAGGAAATACACGTGAGTCCTGGCGCCAGGTCCGGGTGGGTGGGTGGCGGGGGCTAGGGAGGAGGGCACGGACCCAGCCGGTGTGTAATGTAACGCTCACCTTCCCTCTCTGCACGTCCAGGCTGCCCCCTGGCGTGGACCCCACCCAGGTCTCCTCCTCCCTGTCCCCTGAGGGTACGCTGACCGTGGAGGCCCCCATGCCCAAGCCAGCCACGCAGTCCAACGAGATCACCATCCCCGTCACCTTCGAGTCGCGGGCCCAGCTTGGGGGCCCAGAAGCTGCGAAATCCGACCAGTCTGCAGCCAAGTAAAAGCCTTAGCCCGAATGCCCACCGGTGCCGCCACCACTGGCCATGCCCCCCTCCCCACCTGTGTTCTTTTGATACATTTATCTTCTGTTTTTCTCAAATAAAGTTCGAAGCAACCCACCTGTCACTGGCTCAGACCCTGGTGTTTGTGGACGGAAGCCTTGGCCACCTGCCATTTGCTGGCTTACAGGAGCCACCTTTGCTCAGGGTGTGCTGGGCCATGTGGGTACTCATGTGTAGGTTGCTAGGCACAGGCTAACTCACATCCACAAAGACAGAGGTCCTAGAGGCTGGACGCGGTGGCTCAAGCCTGTAATCCCAGCACTTTGGGAGGCCAAGGCAGGTGGATCACGAGGTCAAGAGATCAAGACCATCCTGGTCAACATGGTGAAACCCCGTCTCTACTAAAAATACAAAAAATTAGCTGGGCGTGGTGGCGCGTGCCTGTAATCCCAGCTACTCAGGAGGCTGAGGCAGGAGAATTGCCTGACCCCAGGAGGCGGAGGTTGCGGTGAGCCGAGATTGCGCCATTGCACTCCAGCCTGGGTAACAAGGGCGAAACTCCGTCTCAAAAAAATAAATAAATAAATAAAAATAAAAACTCAGCCCGGTGCGGTGGCTCAAGCCTGTAATCCCAGCACTTTGGGAGGCCGAGGCGGGTGGATCACGAGGTCGAGAGTTCGAGACCATCCTGGTCGACATGGTAAAACCCCGTCTCTACTAAAAATACAAAAAATCAGCTGGGCATGGTGGCGCATGCCTGTAATCCCAGCTACTCAGGAGGCTGAGGCAGGAGAATTGCCTGAACCCAGGAGGCGGAGGTTGCGGTGAGCCGAGATTGCGCCATTGCACTCCAGCCTGGGTAACAAGAGCGAAACTCCGTCTCAAAAAAAAAAAAAAAAAAAAAAAAAAAAAAAAAAAAAAAACTCAGAAAGAGTGAGACCCTGTCTTTAAACGAAAAAAAAAAAGAAGGTCGTGATTGCAAGGTCATGGTTGCAATTAAAACTAAGGTGTGATTAAAAAAAAATAGAAAATAAAACTGTAAGGTGTGGAAGCGGAGGAAACGGGAAGCACCTGAGGCTTGAGTTTTCAGGGTCAGCTAGGCAGGGGCCCAGGTGAAGGAGCACGGGGGTAATTGCACCTCCCTGCAGAGCTGATGGCAGGATTACTGCGTCAGAAGCTTGGCTTCGGCTTCAGCGCACCCCAAGGGCACCACAGTGGACCTGGTAAGCTTTGAGGTCTCTCAGCGCCACACCCCCCGAGGCCAGGGCATCCCTGCTGGCAGTCACAAGGGAACTGGCAGGCAGAACTGGGGTGAGAACAGCGCCCACAGAGTCTCAGGGTGGGGAATTGGGCAGCGCCCTGGCCGACGCGCTCAGACCTGTGCCGCCGGCTGTGCCAGCGGTTCCTGTTGCCTGTGTTTATTTCCAGTTGGCCTCCCTCCAGGTGTAGCCAGGCCTCCCCGGGCCCAGTTCCTCTCTCTGTTGTCTGCCCTTGCCCTAGCTGCCACCCTCTAACCAGGCCCAGGGAAGCCGTGGAGGTACAAAGCAGATGGGGGGCCAGGTGTGGTGGCTCATGCCTCTAATCCCAGCACTTGGAGAGGCCAAGGCGGGTGGATCACCTGAGGTCAGGAGTTCGAGACCAGCCTGGCCAACATGCTGAAACCCCGTCTCTACTAAAAATATAAAAATTAGCCTAATGAGGTGGTGCACGCCTGTAATCCCAACTACTCAGGAGGCTGAGGCAGGAGAATACATTGAACCTGGGAGGCAGGGCCAGGCATGGTGGCTCACGCCTGTAATCCCAGCACTTTGGGAGGCTGAAGCGGGTGGATCACGAGGTCAAGAGATCGAGACCATCCTGGTCAACATGGTGAAACCCCGTCTCTACTAAAAATACAAAAAATTAGCTGGGCATGGTGGCGCGTGCCTGTAATCCCAGCTACTCAGGAGGCTGAGGCAGGAGAATTGCCTGAACCCAGGAGGCGGAGGTTGCGGTGAGCCGAGATCGCGCCATTGCACTCCAGCCTGGGCAACAAGAGCGACACTCCGTCTCAAAAACAACAACAACAACAACAAACAACAAACAAAAAGAACCTGGGAGGCAGAGGTTGCAGTGAGCCCGAACGGCACCGTTGCCCTCCAGCCTGGGGCACAAGAAGGGAAACTGTCTCAAAAAAACAAAAGCAGCCGGGGGCTTTGGAGTTCAGTCTCCACTGTCCTCAAATTTTGGAGGGACCCAGAGTCTGAGGCTGTAGCAAGACACTCCCATGTTCTTTTCTCAGCTGTGGGAAGTAGAAAAGTTCCTCTTTAACGTTTCCTTCTTGTTTAAGAATAAACCATACGCATGCTAGGAACTCTTTGTTAAGCCCTGTCCTATGTAGCTGTGAGACATAGTACATTCTACGTCCTTGTACTTTAAGCAAGTTATCCGTGCTGGATGTGCTCGCAGGCATGTCCCAGCTTACAGCTGAGGCCCCTTACCTGTTTAAAAATGTTTTTTGTTTTTTGTTTTTTTGAGACGGAGTTTCGCTCTTGTTACCCAGGCTGGAGTGCAATGGCGCGATCTCGGCTCACCGCAACCTCCGCCTGCTGGGTTCAGGCAATTCTCCTGCCTCAGCCTCCTGAGTAGCTGGGAATACAGGCACGTGCCACCATGCCCAGCTAATTTTTTGTATTTTTAGTAGAGACGGGGTTTCACCATGTTGACCAGGATGGTCTCGATCTCTTGACCTCGTGATCCACCCGCCTCGGCCTCCCAAAGTGCTGGGATTACAGGCTTGAGCCACCGCGCCTGGCCTGCTTTTTTTTTTTTTTTTTGAGACGGGGTCTTGCTCTGATGTCAGGCTGAAGTGTAGTGGTGTGATCTTGGCTCACTGCAACCTCTACCTCCCCGGTTCAAGTGATTCTCCTGCCTCAGTCTCCTGAGTAGCTGGAACAGCAGGTGTGGGCCAACACGCCCAGCTAATTGTTTTTATTTTAGTAGAGTCAGGGTTTCACCATGTTGGCCAGGATGGTCTCCATCTCCTGACCTCGTGATCCCCCAGCCTCGGCCTCTGAAAGCCAGCTTCTTTTTTTTCAGAGACAGAGTCTCCCACTGTCACACAGGCTGGCGTGCAGTAGTGAGATCTTGGTGCCCCATGCTAAGTGGCGCAGCCTTAAACTGCTCGGCTCAAGGCATCTCCAGGAGTGCACCGCATGCCTGGCTAATTTTTTTTTCTTGTAGACATGGAGTCTCTCGCTATGTTGCCCAGGCTGATCTCAAACTCCTAAGCTCAAGCCATCCTCCCGTGTTGGCCTCCCAAACTGCTGGGATTGCAGGAATCAGCCACTGCGCCTGGCCCAGCCTCTTAATGTCTGCCCACTAGTGGGCTCGCTGTCCAGAAACCCATCTCTGGAGCAGGGTGGGGAGTCAGGGCAGGACCCAGCCCCTGGCCCAATCCTCTCCAGGCCTGTCCTGCCTTTGCTTTTTTCTTTTTCTTTTCCTTTTTTTTTCTTCTGAGATGAAGTCTCACTCTGTCACCCAGGCTGGAGTGCAGTGGTGTGATCTCAGCTTATTGCAACCTCCACCTCCCAGGTTCAAGCGATTCTCCTGCCTCAGCCTCCTGAGTAGCTGGGATTATAGGCACCTGCCGCCATGCCCAGCCACTTTTTGTATTTTTAGTAGAGTCAGGACTTTGTCATGTTGGCCAAGCTGGTCTCAAACTCTGAGACAGGAGAATTGCCTGAACCCGGGAGGCAGAGGTTGCAGTGAGCTGAGACCGCACCATGGCACTCCAGCCTGGGCAACAGGGTGAGACCCGGTCTCAAAGAATCAAATAAACAAAAAGGCAGGACAGGCCGGCAGAGGCCACCCAGCAGGTCTGGGCAGAGCTGGAGCAGGGTGTGTGTACTCCACCCCAAAGAGTGTACTGTTCTACCCATCAGCCGATGCCCTGGGTGGCAGCCCGGAGGAGCACAGGGAAGGAGACCCACGGGTGAGCAGAGATCACACCATTCCTGGCACACTCCTCCTAGTCGAGACACCTCTGATTCTCTTTCCCTTTCCAACTCGCCAGATGACTTTAGACCTCACCATGCCCATCTAACTGAGCCTCCCAAGGATGAGCCATATTTTCATGGGCTGCTTACAAGAGACAGCTCTGCCATCTGCCAGTTGGTGCTGGGAGAGTTGGCACTATGACAAATGCCGGGAATCCCAAGCTTGGCTGAGAAGGGATGGCTCTGGATCAATAATGGACTCGTGGGATGGCCTCGGGCAGGAGCACGAGGCTGGGAGAGCCTCCCTGGCCAGCCTGCAGACAAAAAGCAAGAGTCCAGCCAGGGCTCCCAACTCTCAGCCCAGAGAGAAACAAGCATGGCTGGGGATCCCAGGAAAAACAGACCTCCTCTGGGCGGGCTTCCTATAGCATAACATCCGCTCCCACCCTTCTTCACAGCTGGCACACCAGCTGCCCAGCCTAAGATGATGCTGATGGCATCATCAGCTGGCACTGGTAGAAGGAAGTCTCCCCTCCCCCCACCACCCCAGGGCTGAACAAGGGGGCAGAGCCTGCCACAGGGGCTTGGGGTTAAAGAATGAATCAAGGTCAGGTGCAGTGGCTCCTGCCTGTAATCCCAGAGCTTTAGGAGATTGAATCGGGAAGATTGCTTGAGGCCAGGAGTTCAAGTCCAATTTGGGAAACATAGCAAATCCCTGTCTTTAGCAAAGTTTTTTTGTAGAGAGTGTCAGCTCTGTCACCCAGGCTGTAGTGCAGTGGTGTGATCTCGGCTTACTGCAACCTCCACCTCCTGGGTTCAAGCAATTCTCCTGCCTCAGCCTCCCAAGTAGCTGGGACTATAGGTGCACGCTGCCATGCCTGGCTAATTTTTGTATTTTAGTAGAGACGGGGTTTCCCCATGTTGCCCAGGCTGGTCTCGAGCTCCTGAGCTCAGGCAATCTGCCCGCCTTGGCCTCCCAAAGTACTAGGATTACAGGCATAAGCCACCGAGCCTGGCTCATGTTTTTAAAAATTTAGGTGGAGCGGCTGGGCGTGGTGGCTCACACCTGTAATTCCAGCACTTTGGGAGGCCAAGGCAGTGGATCACCTGAGGTCAGGAGTTTGAGACCAGCCTAATCAACATGGCA